TTTATTAATTACAAAGATATTCCAGTGGAACGACAGTCTTCTCTCTGGTCACATACTGTATGTCAGACATCTCCAGTCATTTAGTCCTCAATCATTTATACTTCTCTGTTCTTCATGAACCAAAGCCAGTCTAAACTCTTCCTTCATTCCTCTAACTAGATGCTGCTCATGATATCTAACAGTGGATGTACCTGCCATTTGATGTGTGTCTGTCTTGTTTTTTAGAACAAAATAAACCACTCTGTCCTAAAAGATCTGCTCGAGCCCATCAAAGAGCTGTATGAGGACGTGAGGAGGAAGGCTTTAATGAGACTGGAGTATGAAGGACTGCACAAGAGTGAAGCCATCACAATGTCTGGAGCTCGATTCTACAACAACCCAGCTGGATTTGCCATGAACAGATATGCTTACTACGTCTGCTTCAAGTGCAAAAAGGTTCGATCTTTTGTTTTGTGTAGTGTTCACAAGCCTCCAGTGGAACACAGAAGCAGTGGTTTTAAACAATCCTACTTTTATATGATGGAAAGCTTTCAGAAAGAGAACAATTGGGTTTGACTGAACTGCCCCTTTAAGGATGTCTCTGTTTACTATGAATAGAATGGAAAAACATGGTTGACAAAAAAGATTGAACGCAGCTCACTCCTGTAGAGCAAGAGCTGTTTGCTTGACATGTCGGCATTAAATGAGATTTAGAAGAACATTCAGATGACAAACTGCCATAATGAAGCCATTTCTCCAGCTGTTGTGCTAACAGTGTGACTTCTGACTCATCCAGGCCTATTTTGGGGGAGAAGCTCGCTGTGATGCCGAGGCAGGACAAGGCGACGATTATGATCCCCGTGAGCTCATCTGTGGTGCGTGCTCGGATGTGTCCAGAGCACAGGTCAGTGGGACAACAGTGTGTTTGGGGAAAAAACAAGGCACATTCCATGTGCTTGCATGTTCTGTTTTTAACACCATAGAGACCAGAAACCCAGTTTTGTTGTCCTAAAGTCAATGGCTTTTTTAATTAGTTTATGGTTCAATGCCTAAAAAAGCTCTATTTTCAAGTTGTTCTACACCATAAAATACA